GTACTCTATCCTTTAAAGATTAATCGCAAGGTTTTCAATATCACGTCATTATCATCACTCTTTAGATTCACTTAATCAGAAATTAGGGAACCATATCATGAATATTTAAAAATCAACTACGTATGAGATCAATGAAATCTAGCCATTTCTATAGCCTATTGTGTGACTTTAAGAAAAGAGAACCAGCTGTATTAACATTTTGGGAAGGTAAACTGAACCTTGTCATTGATTTTGATTGGAGAGATACATTAAAATTTAAGTTTAAGACATTGAAAAACAATAAAATAAAACAACTCAACTTTAAGACATTTCATAGGATTTTACCCTTTAGATACAATCTGTGCAAATGGAAAATTGTAAATGAAAACCTTTGCATTTTTTGTAAAACAGCAGAATCTTTCGTTCATGTTCTTTTAGAGTGCCCGAGCGTAAAGCTTTTCTGGAAACGTATTGTGGAATTGATTGAATTGAACTTTAAAGAAAAAATTATATTAAACGAAGAATTATTAATTGCTGGTTTTGATTTCAAACATGCAAATGGAGCAGATATAAATACAATCGTTGCATATGCTCAATACGCAATCTATTTGATGTATATGTTAAATTATTTTCAAGGTAAACCATACAACAGCTTTTTCATATGGCATGTTTTTAAATACGAGTTACTCTTGGATAACATCTCGGATGTTGTTTCAGGGGCTCTCGGGACATAGTATTTTTTTTGGAGAGTTTTTGAAAGCTTTTGAAATAGCATCTGGGAACTAAGGAAAATCTTCGGGGATATTTTATATCACTGAAGATTTTCTCTTAATAGTTTAAGAAAATACTTAAAGTGAATGTAAAATTTTGTTATGATGTAATGATTTGTGTGTTGGTTATTTTTGTAAATGAATAAAGTACCTCTGACAAGAGGAAAATAAAAAAATAAAAAATATTGTCAATGAAAATATTAAATACACTTGTGTTGGTTATGTCAATATGAAAAAGAAAAAAAAAAACTACGTATGAGAGTAAATTTTACACGCTGTGCACACTGAAAACAATTTACTTCAAATTAGTCACTGATAGCCGATTAGTTACAATTCCCAAATAGCTTTCGTATATTCATGTGGAAAGTATGTTAGCAAGGTATTCACTATGAACATGATGGACAAAGAAAGAGGACAAAATATACAGTTCCTCAGGTAGACAAAGGAACATTCCTTCACTGCTATTATGTAAAAATGTGTAGAACAGGTGAATATGCATGTGACACCTGTTCCACACATTTTTACATAATAGCAGTGAAGGGATGTTCCTTTGTCTACCTGAGGAACTGTATGTTTTGTCCTCTTTCTTTGTCCGTCATATTCATAGTGATTGTTAATTAAATAAATTTGAATGAAACGTACATTTGACATGTAGAAAGATAGAGAGAGGCATCAATAGGTAAAATTGTTCCGTTACAAATTCATGCCCGCTGCACACGATGAATCATTTTAATTTATTTATTTGTCAATTCATCATCTGCGCAAGCGATTAATATTATCTAAATATTGAATAAATTACTACTTTTCTTGAAAGCGGACTTAAAAATGTACATTTATACATGATTTAGAGTCGACTATAAGAGTTAGGTTAGCTAAGTTTAACTAAAGTTAACTAAATTTATATAATGATTGAGTTCATTTCATGACCAAATTACATTAAATGTATTCATTTCAGACTAAGACAGACTAATCTCGGTAAACGGGTTTATTATTAGGCACAAATCTAAAATATTCACACCAGTATAACATAGAAAACATTTATTACATGAATGAACAAAAGGTTTCAAAAATACCAGTCCTATTCGTAAAAAATCATTGCATAGATTAAATGAGCTATAATTTACTCGTAAATCTATCTTTACTCGTTAAAGTAAGGAGAATTGCATAGTCTAATTGATTTGCGTTTAAGGTACATGATTTTACAGTAAAAATATACAGTGAAAGATATATTACACAATTATTACATCAATCAAGTATTGATGAAATATTTACATATATTTATGTTTTTAGAAATTTAATCGGATGAATGAGGTTGAGTAGGAAGAGAGATACACCCTTGTTCAGTGGCGTAAGAAACGTGGGGAAAATGCCCCTCCGATATACAACCCATTAAAAAAGAGAAAATGGGGAGTGTGAAAAAAGTAGCTAGGAAAGAGCGTGGAAAGAAGAAGACAACCCCCGATCCCAACCATGTAGTCACCCTAGGCGGAGCGTATTCACAAGTAATTTCTAGAGCCCCTCTACCACCCAGCCCCCGCCCCCAATCACACTAGTGCTCCCACGGTAGCTGGACACATAGTAGGTCAAATGCATCGGGTCAGGGGCGGATCCAGCCGGCGGCGAGCACTTCGTGAGAAAATGTATAGCGGCGCACGCATGCACGGACATGTGAGAGTCCGAGGGGGATATGCCCCCTCTTTAAGCTGAAGAAAACTCGAATTTTCAAACTCAATTCGTGCAATTTGGTGTATAATTTTTGCCATGATATCATTTAAAATATGCGACTTTTTTCGGGCATAAGCCTTGGACTTCTACGAGGTTCTCCTGGGAAAAAGACTGTGAACACAAGAAGCGGGACTATGTGTAACAAACCGTCTTTAGGGCAATGGTATTCATGACACCGGTAACTCTAGGCGTAAGTGTTTAATATTGATACATGCATAACTGAACACAGTAATGATTCCCTGAACGAGATCAAGAGTCTCACGTTTAGTCTACGTCTAAAGTATAACTTTATCCTTGTTATTTCATTTCTAAACCAGATCTTCAATTACCACAATGTTAACAACCAAATAATTGAGACAGTGCAGTTTCCTAGTACCTTATCGTATCACTTGATTGTCAAAATCAGTTAGTACATGACTAGTACAGCAGTTGGGATGGGCCGACAGCAATCACTGGCGTCGGGCTTCAGTTTAATACAACAACTTTAAACACCGTACATCAGCCCCCTCGTTTTTTTGCTGAATTGGGTTCGCTAAATCGCGCTTTTAGGAAAATGTGGTCTCTCACTTTGCAGGGGAAAAAATGAGTTTTTTGCCGGGGACTTGGTCGATTTATTTTCCAAAAAACTGGGGGGGGGCGGGGCGCCTGACCCAAAAGCCACGCTTATTAATGTACCTATTCTCCTGTTGTTGACATTTCATTCATTATGCCATATTCCACCTCCACCACCCCCCCCCCCGAAAATGAAAACAAAATTACACCCCCCCCCCCCCCACACACACACACACACGCTGATGGAACCACGCATTCTTACATGAATACAAACTTTTTATTCAATTTTCATCATGCCCAAATGTCCCCCCCCCCTCATGGTTTTATACATTCTACGCCACTAGCACGGGGCTGTTTACAAATACACTTGACACATTGTCCCTATATAACCATTACAGTCGTCACCATAGCAATCTACTCTGTCAAACCATTGTCCGTGGTCGTTCACTGTGACATTCCTCATTATAGCAAAATCACCACCATTTGGCTGGCTTGGGTACCAATCTATTTCAAATGAAATAAATGGTAATGATTAGAATATTGATAATAGTGATAGTAACAATGAAAGCGTTAAAAATGAAAATATCAATGATGATAATAATATTATATTAATTATTATAGCCCTCTACTAAATTTAGTTGTCGACGGAAGGAGAACGAATAATAAGAATAATATGCACCAAATTAATTGGACCTACTGATAATAAAAATGATGATGATGAAGATCATGGCGTTAATAATATTAAAGATCATTATGATAATAATAATAATAATAATAATAATAATAATAATAATGATAATAATTATGATAATAATAATAACTTTCTTTTCTCCATTTTTTGGACCCTCCGACGAGCCATTTTATTGAATTTTCTTTGAATACATGTACAAATGAATATCAAATAATACTTCAGAATAAGATGTACATAGTGAATATCAATCATAATAAGTGATTACTGAAAGCGTTGCCTATTGATAATAATAATATGATAATAATAATAATATTGTATATACAGAACATAGATTTTTTTTTTAACACAAAAAACAATGCAACATTATGACTAAAATGATGTGGAAAATTCAATAAGATAATACTAAACGATAAAATGGAAATAATAATAATAATAATTACAATACTGTTCTTGACTTACTCCTGTAAGAAGAAACAGTTCCTGAAGCATCTTTTTCACAGATCCACGTCCCCTCATTAAGCATGTCGTTGCAATTCAGCCAAACCCGTCCCATGAATTCCCCTAAGTACTCTTTCGCAATGACTTCAGTTTCCTCTTGGCTTTCTACCAATAGCAACGATGCTTGTCTTAAACCCGCCCCACCTTGCAGCGTGACGTCCAAGTTCCCACAATAACTCTTGGCATCACTCCAGTGCATGTAAGACGTCAGGTAGTAACACTTTTGTCCATAGTAGAACCAGTCGGATGGACAGAGGGCTGGAAAAGTAGCGAGGAAATTGGAAAAGAGTCGAATTCATTTTTTTTTTTAATTCAACATGCTAAATATCATAATACATATTCTTCAAAATGCATTACTCAGGAGGGTGTTTTATTTTCCCAGAGCGCCTATAATAATGTGTTAGAAACGATGGCCCGAATTCACAAAGGAGGTTTGTCGACAAACCTAGGTTTAAGTGCGTCATATGACGCGTTTTGACGCGTTTTGACGCGTTTCAGATCAGACCAAGGTTTGAACCTTGGTTTGGTTTGAACTTTGGTCTGAAATGCATCGAAACGCGTCATATGACCCACATAAACCTAGGTTTGTCGACAAACCTCCTTTGTGAATTCTGGCCAATATGTTTCGAGCAATGCCCCAAGGGAGAAGCACAGAAAATGTTAATATATTTTGTAGCAGATAGGCGAGATTTGTCCGAATTATTTCTTTTATTTTTCTGCTTTCATACAAATGAACAAATTACAAAGGTTGGATACGCCCCTTGAGACTTTCGTTATAAACTCACCTGTTTCACAATGTGTACCAGTCCATCCATCCTCACATGTACACGTGTAACCGTTCTCCTCATCCTGGCAAATACCTTGATTACCACAAGGCTGGCTGCTACACTCATCAATGTCTGTAGGACAGAAAAACAGACAAACAGAGAAGTAATTAACATGAATTTTAGGGTATCGTGTTGTTTTCCGAAGGTTTGTAACTAGATAATTCTGAAAATGACATTCATTTCATGATTCCAAAAATGACCCGAAATCCTGACTCTACACCCTAACATCATACATCAGCACAGTGCTAACTGGAAACTACCAGATGATTTTGAAGCTTATTTGAATGATTTCAGTCCTTCAATGATTATTTTTTAGTAACAAACCTGGTTAGTCAATCATAGCATAGATTTAGGTAAATCAAGAGTATAATTCTCAAACATATAGAATGGAATGTAATATTATCTTGTTTGTAGCGTTGTGCTACTAATTACAGAGGAGTGGAGTCAGCTGACCGACATTTTCGTCCTAAATGAGATACATACAGTGTATAATAGTTGTAAGATCAGTGCATCTTAATCAGGAACGGAGCCATTTAATCAATTGCACTGATCAGGAATATACTCTAACGCCCTCTATTGAAAATTTCCTTGAAGGAAATGAATTTTTCTGTAACGTTTAAACGTTAAACGCGTTTTTCTTAAACTTCGAATTTTGTGAGGATCGAAGTCCGATTTGCATGTTATTTTCTGATACAAAAACCATGACCAGGTATCTAATTTAATGCAAGTTTCCTTAAAGGAAATACAGCTTTGCTTCGGCGAGGGGAGGGGGGTTAGGAGGCGTAAAAAAGGGTTCTTACCATTTTCACAGTTGCTTCCTTCCCATCCCTCCGTACATTGACATGTATAACTGTTCAGTCCATCCAAGCAAGCTCCCTCATTTTGACAAGGATCGTTGACACAGTCGTTTTTGTCTGCAAGGTGAAAAGCGGATATAACCTGTTTACCAAATCATTCGCTCACAAATTATTTGTTAACTCTTCCCAGAACTCAACCTTCTCTTTAAGCTTTAAAAAAAAACTAGTTATTAAGATAATTAATATTTGCAATGTGAGGGGGCTACACTTGAGGAAAAAGACAGAACTAAAGACATGAAAATAAAATCAACTTAGTTAAAGTCCAATAAAAGACATAATGTCCAATCTATTTTTCAATAGCTACACCACATACAGCGTATGATAACCATTTATACCGTGCTCGCAATAGCCACAAGTTACTAATTACTTACTAACACCACATGTTGACCCTTCCCATCCTTCAGTGCATGTACATGTATAGCTGTTCAACCCGTCCACACAGACTCCGCCATTTTCACACGGTTCATCGGAACATTCATCGATGTCTGGAAAAAAAAAAAACCATTCCAGTCATAAGCTTCTAAATTTTATATTTCTTGATAACGATTTATCATCCTTAATTTGTAATATGCATTATCGATAACGCTTCATTATGATGATAATGATGATGGTGGTGATGAAGGTAATAATTATGATATGGAGGAGGAGAAGGAGGAGGAGGAGGAGGATTCGCGGCATTTCGATGTTGTCGAATTAATATTCCAGTTAAAACATTGGGGGTTTTTTCTTCAAAAAGTCTTCCAATAAAGCTTCATTTAAACATTACATTTCAAACAGGTGAGTATGGTTTGAATGGTTTAGAAATGAATTGGCTTCGAATTGAATTATCTTTTCTTGGTAGTTTCTACAAGTTCTAAAGGAACTTAACATTTGACTTACCAATTCCACAATTGGTGCCTGTCCATCCATCTCCACACTGACATGTGTAACTGTTTATTCCGTCCAAGCAAATCCCATCGTGTAGACAAGGTTGGCTCAAGCATTCATTCAAGTCTAAAGGAAAAAGATTAATTCAATTGTTTAATGATAGACAAAACTATTTAAATGAGATTTAGATTTAATAAACATGTAACTACAATACAAAAGCACAGAAAATACATCAGTATAACTCCAACCATATGTAACTATTTATCCCGTCTAAGCAAATCCCATGGTTCTGACAAGGCTGGCTGAAACATTCGTTCATGTCTAAAGAGATTTTTTAATATAATGAAACAGAATAGAATTTAGCATTTTACTCACTTATTTGACAGTTAACTCCTGCCCATCCGGACATGCACTGGCACATATAACGGTTGACGTCATCATTACATGTTCCTCCGTTACGACAAGGGTTGCTGGCGCACTCGTTGAAGTCTGAAAAATAAAACATCTTAAAATCATAGAAAATACTATAACAATGTCACATAAAAATGATTTCACATGAAATGCCCCAATGTTCCAAGGTAATAAAACACAATAATATCTAGTGACGACATAAATTATGCCGTGTAGAAACAACTTCTAGATATTTACCTACAACCGGATGACCAGCACTCAAGATTATTTTGATGAACTACAAGTTACTAATGATTTATTTCAACATATAAAAGCAAGATTGTGTCTGCAAAGTTAAACAAAATGATATCACTTTTGTATCCAAATCCAAATACATGTAGAATTACTTTAACGTGTTAATCGCATAGAAACATCGACATCATATAGTAATACATTTTTTAAAGCTTAGTGCAACTTTGTTCTGTTTTAAAGACATTTTCTCGATGTTTACTTACTAACACCACATGTTGACCCTTCCCATCCTTCAATGCATGTACATGTATAGCTGTTCAACCCGTCCACACAGACTCCACCATTTTCACACGGTTCATCAGCACATTCATCGATGTCTGAAAAAATAAGGAAACATTCCAGTCCAGTTTCAAATTTTCATATTTCATTTCATAATGTGCATTCATTATTATACTTTATTATAATGATAATGATAATGGTATTGATGGTGAAAATGGTTATGATGAGGAGGAGGAAGAGGAGGAAGAGGATTCGCGGCATTTCGATGTTGACGAACTAATATTCCAGTTAAAACTTTTAACTTGTTATATATCAAATGACATCAAATTGACTTATCTTTATATGGTAGTTTCTACATGTTCTAAAGGAACTTAAAGTATGGCTTACCAACTCCACAATTGGTGCCTGCCCATCCATCTGTACACTGACATGTGTAACTGTTTATTCCGTCCAAGCAAATCCCATCGTGTAGACAAGGTTGACTCAAACATTCATTCAAGTCTAAAGGAGAAAGATTAATTCAATTCATGTAGGGATAGACAAAACTATTTAAATCAGATTAAAAGTTAATATACCTGTAACTACGCTACAAAGGCACAGAATATAAATCAGTATAACTCCAACCATGTGTGACTATCTATCCCGTCTAAGCAAATCCCATAACCTTGACAAGGCTGGCTGAAACATTCATTCATGTCAAAGAGAGATTTTTTTAAAATAATTATTTACATATATATTCATTAAATTAAGGTTTAAAAATACTGCATGACCTAGAATGGCTTTTGTAAAGTGTAATGTATAAGCCAATGTGATTTAGATTGCTGCAATACAATTGAGAACAATCCGAGGACGTTTTTGTTGTTTCTCAGAGGAATTCTTTGGAATATTCACTCGTTTATCTCAAAATTCCAGGATCCCCTGCTCTTTCTAATGAAACCGAACAAAATTTAGCATTTTACTCACTTATTAGACAGTTGACTCCTGCCCATCCGGCCATGCACTGGCACAGATAACGGTTGACGTCATCAGTACATGTTCCTCCATTACGACAAGGGTTGCTGGCGCACTCGTTGAAGTCTGAAAAACAAAAGATCTTAAAATCATAGAAAATCTTATAACAACTTCACACGAAAATGATTTCACATCAAATGCCCATGTGTTCCAAAGTAATAAAACACAATAAAATCTAGTGACAACATAAATTATGCCATGTAGACAAAATTTCTAGATATTTTCCTACAATCGGATGATCAACGTTTAAGATTATCGTGATGAACTACAAGTAATAATGATTATTTGTTTTAATATATAAAGCCCGATCAAAGACAGATGAAAGAAGCATAAATCCGTCTTTTAGAATGTGAATATGGCATGTTGACAACAGTTTAATATATTGTTATTTTGGTATGATAATTTTCTCAAAGAATGAGAGGTTTAGTTTTCTTTACAAATGGTTAATAAGTCTGTGATGAAACAAAAAACATTTCTACCATAAAATACCTGGTGTAGTAGTGGATTGCTGCGGTGTCGTTATGGTTGACGTAGTATGCTGCGTTTCGTTCCGAGAAATTATTGCCGCTTTCTCGAGCTTTTCTGAATTTTGTAGACAAAAAAGAAAATACATGCAGTTATTATCATCATCAATGTTCTTAACAAAGACAGGATTTTAAGAGAGCAGTTGATTTTAAACAAAAAGGGGAATACGTGCACAGCAATGAATAGCCAATAATAGAGCAATTATCGTTGTTCATGACGTAATTATCCATGGCTTCATGATAGCAGATATGTTTGGAGTATAGTGGCGCTCTCTCGCTCTCTGCTGGATGACAGACTTGGTAAGAGCAATAAGGATGCTGCTACGAACTTTCATATAGCATATACATATATTAACTTTTTTACCGGGGATCTTAACAATGAGTTGTCCTTTCTAATGGGAGAGCACCAGTGAAGACTGAATAGCACTTTAGCAGTGATGTTGTTTCGAATCCGGGACACGGTTCACTTTAGGCATTAGACATCCTGACAAAAGATGAAAGCAATTATAGAATTATATTTTGCATGTCCATAGACGAAGCTAGACCCACAAAGAGACATGGGCCGCGAAAGGGAAGAGGGAAGAGAGACATGAATAAAGAAAAAAAAGAAAGATTGACGGATGAGAGGAGAGAAACAGGGAGACAATAACAGAGAGAGAGAGAGGAGAAAAAAATAGAGAGAGAAAGAGTTAGGAGATGAGGAATGAAAGACGAAAAAACGGTAAAATATTTGTTAAAAGAAAAATAAGAATAAATAGTGTCATTTCACGTAGAAGCACTTAAGTCGTATGTGTATTATTCTCATGTTGCCAATGGTACCTACCACAACTTTTCCCTGTATAACCTTCGGAGCAGTGGCATTTGAATCCGACCATAGTCTCCTCACACCAGCCGTTTTTGCATGGATTTCTGAGACAATCTGTTCATCAGAATTGGAATAAAAAGATGGATGAATTGAACCAGCTTGCATTTCCATAATTTTATCAAACGAATTCGTTTTCACTGGCTGCCTGCCGTAGCAAAAAGCAGAATTGGCAAAGACTTAACTCCGTTTCGTTGACAATAAGCCATGCAGCCAGTGAAAACGAATTAATTTATAAAATTATGGAAATGCAAGCACTACTTTTAACAAACAGAACTTTGTTATTCCCAGCCCATTTTTCCTGATTGAGGTGTCATATGAAAGAGCAGAAACTCTTTCTAGAAATGTGATTTTCTCTTTGAAACTCAGATACCGTCCGCCAAATTACTTTCTGATTTCCTCTCTTCAAATTCATTTTATATAAATATGCATCATATGAGTTGCATCAAATGAAAGAGGAGGATCTAAGCTTTACAAATATGTGTCATTTATTAATTATAATTATGATTAAGTTATGATAAAACATCGATAATTCTCGGTTTCGTTTTTTCTGGGACGCACTGTATAATACCAATCCGGTCTGTTTGTACAGGCCTCTCAAACCGCTTAAATCATGGCAGTGTTTTTAAAAACTTAAAAGTAAAAATGACGGCTTTTCGTCTCGAATTCAAAAAACATCATTACTGTAAAGTTGGATGTAATGGAACAATATCATTGTAGAACTAGATAATATAACAATTTCACACGAAATATACTACATCTTTTGTTTAATTATTGTTGTTTAATTTTGATCATTTTTCAAAAGATCTTTGATATTCTATAACGCATTGATTTCTAGATCTAAATGACTTTTCTTACAAGTAAATATCATAATCCTATATAGTTCAGTTTTGTTTGCAATGAGATTATAGATATACCTCTCTGGATTTTGTTAATAAATAAATTAATTTAACTGGTTCGAATTGTCAAAATCATTAACCTTTTCAAATCTCTTTACTATTCTTGATCTGTAATTATTCTGATAGATGTGAAGTTATCTTACCCGGGAATCTACACTGGCGGTGCCCAGATAATCTTGCCATCCCAGAGTTGGGGCATGATACGCGACGTTGAATTATCTTGGGGATTGTAGCCATCATCTTCCCATTCTCATCGGGGCGTTCCCGGCAGACCTCGAACATAGGTAGGGTGTAGTTGATCCCAAGGCCATCGCTGCATGTTGAATTCTGGCCCAAGGGTAATACAGCGGGGGTTCCTGCAACATGACATACTAATAATTATGAACTATAATCAGATGCTTACTTTATTCGCTCTAAAAAAATGATTATGAACAAACTTTGGATCTAAAAGCACCATGGACGTCAATGCAGCCCCAAGACCCTATCCCTTTTTGTGACTGTTTACGTTGCGTTCTTAAACACATCGCCCCCTCCCCCTCCCTTTTAAAAAGTTCTATTGCCTTTTCTGATTTGAATGAAACGCGAAAAAAAAAATGAAACTACGGACAAAATATGTATTAGAGGTACCATCATCAATTCTAAGTTACTTACCTCCTATAATAAATTGTATGAAGATGTAAATCAAACTCGCAAGAGGAACATAACCTTCCATGTTAACAAAAAACACTAACAAAAAAAACCCAAGGGTTTGTTGAATACTTGTTAAGCGAAGCAGGCTACTCGCAGAAATATATTAAAACAAAATCTCAATCTTGGATAAAGTCCTGCATTAGTTGATATATATTCGCAAAGCTCTAGATGAAGTAACGTTCTTCGATACATGCTCTAGCGATAATTAATTCCCTTCCAATTTTTTTTTAAACAGTAACTGAGAGATGCTGCTGATGCGATTAATCTAAATGCGATAGTAATACCTCAGTCACACCGCCAAACCTCCTCCGCGCAGACTCCGCACTGGCCGATATTTGGCCCCTCGGGGTTTCATAAGTAATCGTTCATTCGTTCTATTATCACCCTCTTCGTCAGTCTCGTTGGTCATCGGTGTGACTGTGGTCCTAGTGTCACGTCACGGCACGTTGGAGATCGATTCGATCTGCTGAGCCTAGCGGGGTTTTTTTCAACGTGCTTTCATCATGTCTGTATTATTTTCGATCAACCTTGCCGTTTTCATCACGCCAATAAAAATAATTTGATAAAACCTATTCAGTCATATTCAAGTAATTGGTTAATTAAGATAATGACAGCACCAAATAGAATAAGTTGATAATTACCCTTCAATAGGCAATATCTACGATATGAACAATATCTTTTCTGTAAACTAATATTCGTCAATGTGATTAATATAATGGTTACCAAAGCAACCATTTTGTGGTGTGGGATTCGAGCCACGTTCGTTTTATCAACATTGAATGATGATGGTGATTATGATGATATGATTATGGAGGTGCTGCTGATGCTGCTGCTGCTGATGACGATGATTAATATGATGAACAGTTTTAATGAGGAGGAGGATACAGTGAGGAAGAAGAAGAAGAAGAAGAAGAAAAAGAAGGAGAAGAAAAAGAAGACGATGACGATGATGATGATGATGATAATAATTTAGATGATGATGCTGATGATGATGATGATAATGAGGATGAAATTGATGATGATGAGGAGGGGGAGCAGGAGCTGGAGGAGGATTACAGTGAAGAAGAAGAAGGTGATGTTTTTTTAAACTCTGTTTGTTATAGTAATTTCCAGTTTTATTTCATCATCTGATCACGGTTGATTATATTTGATATATGTATGTTTTGCTGATTGATTATTAATGTTTTATTTTTATCCCCGATTCTAATGTATATATATATATATATATATATATAGCGTAACTTTGTATAACTTTCATATTTCTCTACATTCTCTACATATTCTCTACACAAGAATATCCAAATAATATCCAGGTTAAAAATGGATGATGGTTGATGACACGGTAGAGTGATATATCTATCTCTCCAGGGCGGAACTGTCAAAGTCTCTCTCTCTCTCTCTCACCAATGCTTATAAGAGAAGCTTTATCTGCCACACAATGTAGTAATATAATTATTGAGCCTTTATTTTCGTACACTATTAGCAAGCGAAATTAATAACTGTAGATTATTGCCCCCATCACTTAGCAGCAGTATAGTGAGTAATTAGATTTCACTTCGTCACTTCGAGTCGATCTTTGTTTTTACAACTATGGAAACGATGGCGTAGTTTCAGTGGACACTGGAGTTTCTCCCCCCCCCCCCCCCCAAATAGCTTTCGTATTTTCATGCGGAAAGTATGTTAGAAAGGAATTGTTAATTAAACAAATTTGAATGAAACGTACATTTGCCATGTACATTTATACATGATTTAGAGTCGACTACGAGAGTTAAGTTAGCTAAGTTTAACTAAAGTTAACTAAATTTATGTCATGATTGAGTTCATTTCATGGCCAAACTACATTCAATCTATTCATTTCAGACTAAGACAGACTCATTTTGGTAAACGGGTTTATTATTAGGCACGATTCTAAATAATTCACATCAGTATAACATAGAAAACATGTATTAAATGAATGAACAAAAAGATTTTAAAATCACCAGTTCTATTCTTATAATTATTGCATAGATTAAATGAACAACAATTTACTCGTGAAACAATCTTTACTCGTTAAAGTAAAGAGAATTACATATACAGTGCGTCCAA